ACCAGGGACAAAAAGAACTCAACATAGATTGAAAACCAAAGAATCAGATGTGAAACTTAGATCCTATCAGAAGGAAACATAAGGGAAGCATTTCAATGCATTGGTCCATGTAACGATTTTCTGTACAGGACCCCAAAGGCATGCATTGAGAAATCTGATTGCACCAAATTACAAAGCTTCTTTACACCAAAGGAGATAAGAAGGTAAAGAGATAAACTACAGAATGAGAAAAATAATTGTCAACTGATCGCCTTATAAAGGGTTAAATACTCAGACAACTTAAAGAACTTTTAAAAAAGTAACCAAGTTCAAAAATAGAAGAATGAGCACTGGCAAGATGGCTCAGCAGTTCAGAGCACTTGTTCTTACAGAAGACCCAGGCTTGATTCCCGGAAACCACTTGCTGGTTCAGAACTATCTATGATTCTAGTTCCCAGAGATCAATCCCCCCTTTTTTTTATTCTGCAGACACCGAGAATGCATGTGATGTATATACAGACATGCAGGGGACTCATAAATATAAAATTAAAATCAATAAATCTTTAAAAAATTCTTAAATGGGAGAATGATCTGAGTGACCATTGCTAAGATAAAGAAATACTAATGGATCATAATCCATGTGTACACAGGCATGTGCCTGTGTGACATGTTTGTGTTCATGTACTGTTTTCATTCACATGAACTTGTGTATATATGTGTTCATGCATGTGAAGGCCAGAGGTAGACAGTGAACACCTTCCTTCACTTTATTTACGTTTTTGCTTTATTATTGAGGATTTTATGTATCCACCAAGGCTCAGGGAACATTGATGGGTGATGTACTTCTGTATGCTGTGAATATGTATTGCTCTGATTGGTTTATAAATAAAGATGTTTGGCCAGTGGTGAGGCAGAATAAGGTTAGGTGGAACATTTTAACTAGAGAGATGAAGGAGAAAGACAGAGCAGGGAGGGATGCCAGCCTGCCAGCCAGGGAGCAGCATGTAATGGCACACAGGTAAAGCCACAGAATACATGGCAACATATAGATTAACAGAAATGGGCTGAGTTTAATTGTAAGAGCTAGTCAGTACTTAGCCTGAGCTAATGGCCAAGCAGTTTTAATTAATATAAGCCTCTGTGTTTACTGGGGTCCAAGCGGCTGTGAGACTGGCAGGTGAAAGAGATTTGTCCTGACCGCTGGCCAGCCAGGACACAGGAAATCTTCCAGCTACAGAACATCTCAGAAGAAAAGGTGAAAAGACATTAATTAATAGCTGTAGGATGAGGCAAATCACTGTGAAATGATTTCTTCTGGAAACAATGTGGTTTTTGTACTCATGAATTTACTGCTGCCATGGTTACCTGCACCATGTTTTGCTGAATTTGAAACTCATCCAGTTCAGCTATACTGGTTGACCAGTGAACTCCAGGGGTCTGTCATCTCCTCCTCAGAACTGGAATTGTAACCTTGTGCCTGCTGTTCCTGACGCTCACATGAGTGCTGGAGCTTAGACTCGGGTCCTCATGCTTCCATGGCAAGCATTTTATAAAACTAGCCATCTCTCCAGCACCCCTAAAACCACATTTGACATGCAAATCAGAAGTGTAGTAAAAGATATTTGTCTCAACTCAGAATGGCTTTTATAAAAGTAAAAACAGAAAGCAAAACCTTCTGGTGAGGATACAGAGAAAAAGAAACTCATCTTCTCTTGGTGGGGACTGCGTATTAGCACCGACATGATGGAAACACACACACACACACACACACACACACACACACACACACACACACACACACAGAGAGAGAGAGACAGAGACAGAGACAGAGACAGGGACAGAGACATTGGGAGAGACAGAGAGACACACAGAGAGAAACAAAGTTAAAGTAATGTGTTTTGTTATGGCATCTTCATGCATACTTTGTTGCTATTGGTCTCTCTTTCCAACTCTCCACTTTGATGATCCCCCCTCTCCTGCAACAGTCTCCCTTGTACTTTCACATATAGTCTTTTTTCCTTCCCCCATTCCTATAGATCTTTTCTTACCATTTCATGGTCACCTTCCTGGCTTCATGAACTAGAAACCCAGATTTATATATTATTGAAAAATATACAGCATTTGTCTTTCTGATTCTGGCTTATTCCACTGAACATAATGATTTTAAGTTCCATACATTGTTCTGCAAATGTCATGTATCCACTTTTATTTAGGGTCGAACAAAATTTTTTTCATGAATATGTATCACGATTTTCTTTATCCATTAACTTGTTGATGGGGATCTAGGCTGGTTGCATTTCTTATTATTTTTGAATAGTGTAGCACTAAATATGGATGTGCCAATTATATGATGTGGTGGTTTGAAAGAAAATGGCCCCCCAAGGGAGTGGCACTATTAGGAGGTGTGACCATGTTGGAGTAAGTACGATCTTGTTGGAGGAAGTGTGTCACTGTGGAGGCAGGCTTTGAGGGCTCATATATGTGCAAGCCACACCCAGTGAGACAGATCACTTCTTGTTGCCTGCACAAGATGTAGAACTCTCAATTACCTCTCTAGCACCATGTCTGCCTCCACATGTCCCACCATGATGATAATGGACTGGACCTCTGAACTGTAAGCCACCCCAATTAAATGTTTTCCTTTATAAGAGTTGCTGTGGTCATGGTGTCTTTTCACAGCAATAGAAACCCTAACTAAGACATATGGTGTGTCTGGTTTTCATTTTTGGAGAAACCGCCATATTGGTGTCCATAATGGTTTTGCAAGTTTCCAGTGCTACCAAGAATGCATAATGTTCCTCATTATCCACATCCTCATCAGCATTTGTTGTCAGTTGTTTCCTTGGTATTGGACAGTCTGACTCTGATGAAATGGAATCTCCAAGTAGATTTAATTGTATTTACCTTATGGCTGTGAATACTGAACATGTGTTAAATAAGTCATTCTTACTCTTTCCTCTTTTGAGAACAGTTTATGGATATATTGGCCCATTTACTGACTGGAAGACTTTTTGTGCTTAATTTTTGCAGATATTTATTATATTCTTTATATATTCTAGATAATAACTTTCCATATATATAATTGGCAAAGATTTTCTAACATTCTGTAGGTTGTCTCTTTTACTGTGTAGGAGGTTTATAATTTCATGGAATTCCATTTGTCAGTTTTTTTTTCAAGACAGGGTCTCTCTGTGTAGCTTTGGAGCCTGTTCTGGAACCCTCTCTGTAGACCAGGCTGGCCTCGAACCCACAGAGTTCTTCTGCCTGCCTCTGCCTCCTGGGTTCTGGGATTAAAGGTGTGTGCCACCACTGCCTGTCTCCAATTTGTCAATTCCTATTCTGTTAGAGTCTTTTTCAGATCTTTCTTTCCTGTGCATATGCACTGAAGTGTTTGCATTCCTAGGAGATGTGGTATGCCCCCTTACTCTTATTACTGTTTCTTTGCTTTGTATTTTTACATTTTGGTTGTGATGTGCTGTGGAGCAGTCCACCTCTGGTCTGGAGTTTTAAATTTCTGTTCTGTTTGGTTGTGCACTTCTTCATTTAGGTTTGAGAAATTTCCTATTATAATGTCAGTGCATGAAGTCTTTAGACTTTGACTCAGTTTGCTCTTCTGCCCTTTATTTTTTAGGTCTGGTCTCTTGAAAATATCCCAGAACCCCTGGAAGGTTTGATAATACTCCTCTAGATCTTTTTCTTTGTATCTGAATACAAAGAAACTCATTTCTATGCTCTACCTTGTCTGTCAACGATGCTTTCCTCTGTTTTTGTTGTTGTCTATGTCTGAGATTGTTATTTAATTATAACATTTCTTCCTTCCCTTTCTTTCCTCCAAACTCTCCCACATACCCCTTTCTTGCTCTTCTTCAAATTCATGGCCACTTTTTTTTGTTAATTGTTATTGGATGCCTATATGGATTGGTACACACACACACACACACACACACACTCTTAAATATAGCCTGTCAAGTCCATATAATGTTATTTGTATGTATGTTTTCAGGGCTGACTATATGGCCCTGAACACCCAGCTGTTGCTCTCTTCTCTGGGGAAGACCACCTCTCCTACTTCCTTCCCCAGTTGCCTGTAGCTCAGCGATGAGCTGAACAATGATGACGTCACCAAAGATGCCAAACAGGACAGGGAAAGCCCACAGGGCTTCGGGCTTCTGTGTTTTCTTATTGTGTTGATTGGCTGTTTCCCCAAGATTTCTATTTGGTTCTTTCTTCAGCATGTCAATTTCTAAAAAATTCCTGTATTTTAAAATTTCTCCTTCAAATTTCTGATTGATTGATTTATTTTGCTGGCTTTCTTTTTTAGGCCTTGAAATGATTTACTTATACACACTGTGTGTGTGTGTGTGTGTGTGTGTGTGTGTGTGTGTGTGTGTGTGTGTGTGTGTGTGTATGTATGTATGTGTGTACTCATATATTTGAGTCATCTATGAGGTCACTGCTTCCTTTGAAAAGTAGAACTCTAACACCTTCCCTGGAATTTCAGCTTTCTCCTTATCTCTGGCTTCCGGTGTTGAGGCACTGTGAGCCTGTGGAGTTTTCCTAATGTCCAGTTTTTATTTTTCCCAGTTCTCCCACTCTTGTCATTTATTTTATTTTATGCACATCTTCCTGGTGAGCTCTCTCCACCTGAATTTATGTTCTCCACTCCTCTTTGAGGGAAAGCTGATTGCAAGAATAGCATAATGATCTGACAGCAGCCCCAGTGCAGAAGAGCACATTTGTGTACTGCGTTTGTGTCTTCAACAGCATTCAGAGACAGTAACCCTGGAGTTCTGATTGGGGAAAATAAATCTTACAGGTTTTATTCAGGGTACTAGGTGCTCTCTTTCCAGAGATATCTTTTGGTGAGACTGTACCAAGTTCAACAGCACACTTCTTACCTTCTCACGTTGTTGGCCCAAGTTCAGGTGGGGGCAGTTCATTCTCAGGCTACTCATTCCAGGATACGGGAGGAGGGCCTCAGCTCAAGCTCTCCTGCTGCATTTCTGTCTCTTTTTCTACAGTCTGCTTGCTGTGGCTGTTTCCATCCATGGTGTGTCCAGCCCGTGGCCACGTCTCCACAGCCTGATGTGTGTCTCTCTGGTTCACTCTACTTATGCTGCCTGTGTCCCGAGGGGATAGCATTCCTTGGCAACTACCGCTGACCTCTGGTGTCAACAGTGTGGTGCAAGTGGGCACACAGGTCAGTGGCCACTTCTGACTGTTTCTTTGTGGGGAAAATCCTACCAAGTTTTATTCTTTTTCTTTCATCCTTTTTTTTAAAAAAAAATAGGAATTGGGCTTGCTTGTTTGGTTTTCTTTCTTTCTTTCTCTCTTTCTTTCTTTCTTTCTTTCTTTCTTTCTTTCTTTCTTTCTTTCTTTCTTTCTTTCTTTCTCTCTTTCTTATCCTAGCATGATCAGACACCTGACGACCTGGGAATTGAACCTGGGTCCTCTGAAACATCACTCGGTGTTCTTAACCACTGAGCCATCTCTCGTCCCCTGTTTGTTCTTTTTTTTTCTTTTTTTCTTTTTTTACCACAACTCTTTCATCAGGTCACACATTGGCAATTTATAATTCACCATCTTATCTGAAAGTCCCATAGTCCTCCTACATTTTTCACAGTAGGTGAGACACAGAAGCAATCTAGATGCCCATCAACATGTATGAGTAAACAAATGAAGAATGAAATCCTGTCATCTGTAGTAAAATTGGTGGAATGGAAGAAGATATGTAAAGTAGAATCATCGAGACAGAGACATACGTTTTCCCATATGTCTCTGCCACCAGGAGTCAGTCTGACAGCAGGACAGAGATTGACAGGGGTTGGAAAGGAGGCACATGGAGGGAGGATTTGGTGAGAGACGCTGTATTTTTTTGTGTAGAAATATCAAAACACTGAACCTCATCAATGTGCACATTAATACATTTAATTAAAATAAAAAGAAAGTATTTCTTCATATTAATGAGAAGTATAAACAAATACTGCCTTGGACCTCCAAGCTTATGATTTTAGTTCTTTAAAACACAATGAATTATAAAAATCTGTATTGTTCAGTGAGTTATGTGTATATAATATTTTATGTATGAAAGAGAACATTAATCTAAAGAGAAAAAAGAAAAAGCAAGAAAGGAAAAAATTAAAAGATAGCAAATACTTGAATTACCATGAAATATAGAAAAACTGACATTTTTAACAGCAAGTAACTTCCTAATAGATGTACATATCTATAGTACATCTTGTTATAGTCTCATAGGCTAGAGAGCCTCCAAGCAGACACTTTTAGGGGAAAGCATGTATGAATATAGCAACGGAGTTGATTTGCCCTTTTAAATGTCTGTTATGTTAAATTACCTTTAATGTTTTCTTTTCCTTTTTTTAAAAAATTAAGGTCCCTCAGAGAAATTTATGAAGGACCAAAGAAAACCCTCGAGTTACAGAGACTTGTTATTTTAGGTGACTTAGAGAGATTTTGATTGTTATAGTACCAAGTTCTCTCCCCAGAATTGTTCATTTCTGCCATGCTTTTTGAGTACGTGATGTGACTAGATGTGAGCTTGCTCATGTATGCACCCACCTCTACTTGTGATGATGGCTCTTTCCTTTACCAATATACACAGGTTCCCCAATAAAAGTTCTTCGGTTGCTTTCTTTGGGAGGAACACTTCATTGAGAATTACCTCCATTTCTCTCCTTCCTTTCTGCAAGTAATAGACTTTTCTTTATTCTTGTATTGCTTGGCTTTATTCATGGTCTTTCCACTTACCACGAGGTGAACCTATTTCATTCCTTTACAATATGGCAGCAACTTTGTGATAGTTCCTATGGAGGAAGTAGAGCAATACTCTTTCCTTAGGAGCGAATCCTCTATCAGGGCTTGAGCTCAATATCTGTTCTTCACGGAACCCACAAAATCCTCGTTCCTTGTTGACTGGTACCGCTCTGTTTCTAAGTGCTATTTATTATTTGATCAATTAACTGCTTGACTTTTAAGCAATTGGAAAGGAAAAGTTTTCATGCTTGGTCCACAAGTAGTTTCCATCAAGGGATCAGCAGATCAGGCCTTTGATCTTCCCTCAGTAGCTAATGAGAATTCATTATTGAAGAACCAGATGTGACAATGCATTTGTTTAATTTGCAGGAGCCATTTGGACAATTAAGTGGGGATGCTGAAAGCAGTGTTCTGCTCATTACTTTATATTAAATAGATCTGGCCCGCCCTTCTTTACACTTTCAGAGTTTAGCTGCCTCAGTGATTAACTGTGAGGAAATCTAATTTTCCTGTTTTCACTTATTTTCTCTTGTTAGTGATCTATCATTGATTAAGAACAAAGAGAAGACCTGAAAGGAAGACACGCCCTCCAGAGCTGGATGGTAAATTATGACTCAATGATATTTAAGGGTTAAGAGTATCAGTTCCAGGGACAGCCACAAAATGGAGCCAGGTAGTGTTTTGTGTAATCCAGGATTTTACCCCTCACGAAATTAGAGATAACAAAGAAGGTCACCCATGCAATATTAGTCCTCTCTTTAAACCCAGTTGAAATACTGGAAGTGTAATGTAAAGGTATGTGATGTGGGTGCTATGCATACATCCTACACCAAAACAAAAAGTAACAAAAACAGAGACCCACTTAGAGAAAGGTATGAATATACCAATAGTGCAAATTTTTTGGTGTTTGTGGTTTTAATTGTTTTGGGAACCAAATGGACTTAGTGGAAAGCATTGCTACTTAGTAATGCACAGTTTTTTGTATAAGCAGTGAGTTAATGTTACGACAGAAATGGTTAGCCACAGCCTCTCAATAGCATTCCAACCTCAGTCAACCTCTGTAGAACATCCAATACAAGATGTGACCTATTCCACATTGTTATTAGTTAGTTCCCACCAATCAGAGACTAGTAGGGCAACAGAGCTTATCACAGTCATCTGGGCTGCTGTAATGAATCTCCATAGACTATGTGGCTTAAGCCACAGACACTTCTCACAGTTTCAGAGCTTAGTGAGTCCAGGACTAAGGCAGCGACAGATGCAGGGTCTGATGAGACCACTGTTCCCAGCTCATAAAAGGGCAGAGAGCAGAGCAGAAAACACATTCTCATGCCTCTGCTTCAAAGGTGCTATCATGTCCATTAGGGATTGTCCTCATGATCTTACCATTTATATTTCTGTTTCCTTTTTTCCAAGTCCAGAGAACAGGGTTTTAAAAATTATGATACAGCTTACTCTTTCTGTTTTTTAAATAATTTAAGCATTTTAAAATTAAAATATAATTGCAAAATTTTGCCCCTTTCCCCCTCCCTCCAACCCCTTCCTTGTATCCCTTCTTGCTCTCTTTCAAACTTGTGATCTCTTTTTTTTTTTAATTGTTGTTACATCTGTGAGTGCGTGTTTTAAGACAAAATCATGGAATCATGGCAATAGCTACTCTCTTAAATCCCCTTTTAAAGTGTATGTTTGGGTGGAAAGAGAGAAGGAGGGAGGGAGGGAGGGAGGGAGGGAGGGGAGGAGAGAGAGAGAGAGAGAGAGAGAGAGAGAGAGAGAGAGAGAGAGAGAGAGAATTAAACACCCCAAAATACCCAAATTTTCAAACCAATATTTTTTTTTTTTTTTTTTTTTTTGGTTTTTTTCGAGACAGGGTTTCTCTGTGTAGCTTTGCGCCTTTTCCTGGCACTCACTTGGTAGTCCAGGCTGGCCTCGAACTCACAGAGATCCGCCTGGCTCTGCCTCCCGAGTGCTGGGATTAAAGGCGTGCGCCACCACTGCCCGGCCAAACCAATATTTTTGATCAATCGACGTATTTAGTGGATTATATGAATGGCTCAGCAGAGGAAATTTGTTATCTATTAATCCTTGGCTTGGATTTCATGTAATTTTGAACAGAAGTAGTTGAATTTATAAGGCGTAAACCTCTGATCGCAACGGTTGCCAAAACTAACAGACCTGAGGGTTCTAGTGCATTTGTCAGGAGATACATCAGCTGCCAGCGCTATAGGCAAATTTAGTCCCCGTCGGACCTGACTCGTTTTACACATCTTAGTGGGAGCTTCTGAACGATGAGAGTTTGCTTTGCAATGTTCTCCTTATGAGACTGCAGGGTGGATAAAGAAGTTTGGGTTATTATACTAGGTAGTGCTGGAGCAATGAAGAAAAAAATAAAAATTTAAGTGAAGAAAATAATAACACACTTATGGAAGTTATATGGAGGCTCTCAGTCAAAAGTTGGAGAATGGCTGAATATCCCCAGACATGCAGCCAATATAACCAATTTGCCAGGAGAATTCCAAAATAGCACCACAAAGTCATCCTGCATTGTCAGATGAATTTAACCCAGGTAAAATCATGTAAAATCCACTGAGCTACTGAGCTTAATTTGAACTTATTTGCAATCACTTACTCACCTCACTTTTCTCTCACACTGGACACAGCAGCTGAATGGAAAAGGCAGATTCAGAGATGAGCTCAGATTGCATCGTCAGTCTTACAGGGAGGATTCTTGCTACAGCACTACCTGCCACCTGTTTTTGAAACTCTATCCAGTGCACTGCCACAGTTGCTTTATTTTGATCAACTTTGTTTATGTATCACAAGCTTTAGGGTGATGGGGACCCATTTCAGTGCTCCTGTCCTCATACCCAATGTTATAAGCGGGTGGAGGTAGGGGTGCTCCTTTGTTATCAAATTCTTGGAATCTGGGAAAAGGGTCTTTTGTAGACATAAAAATCTAAGAATCTTGAGCTAAGGGAAGAATTTTTCTTGAGCTAAGGAGAGACTCTGAGAAGATAGAATAAGGAGAGAGAGAGAGAGAGAGAGAGAGAGAGAGAGAGAGAGAGAGAGAGAGAGAGAGAGAGTAAGAGACAGATGAAGGCAGAGACAGAGAGAGACACACAGAGAGACAGAGACAGAAAGAAGGCAATACAGAGTGAAAAATAGAAGAGATGACATGAAGCCAGAGCACCGGTGTGATGCAGCCATTAGCCAAAGAAGCCAGGGAAGGCATACAGTAATTAAAATCTGGATGGGGTATGGAATGGGGTGTCTCTAACTTATAGGCCTTTTCAACTTTCTGACAGACATTGGTTATCTCAAACATTCATGCTTGAGAATCATTAAATTAAGTTTAAGAACACCACACAAAAAAAATCTCTTAATGTTTAAAGTAAGCTTATGAGTCTGTGTTTGGTTTCATTGACTGTTATCTTGGTGTACATGAAGCCCATGAACTGCAGGTTGTACATAGCTATGAAGAAGCATGGCCCTGTTAATAAACACCCTATCTTTAGATGTATAGACTGAGGAATAAATTTCTCTTGTTTCAAATCATCAAGTTTTCTGGAGATTGTTACAAAAACCACAAGGAACAGATACATCACTCAACATACACATACACATATCACTTTTTATGCTGTGTAGATCAACCACAATATTAGTTCAATTTAACTTACAGTTGTGTTTGGCATCCAGGATGTTTCCATGCCACCCCTGAAATGGCAAGAGGTTAGTTCCAGGAGATTATGATTTGGTAATTGTTCACAGAAGCCTAGTTTCATATGACTACTATTTTATTATCTCTTCCCGCTTAGGAAATTACCTCAAACCTTAATGGCTTCAAGCAAAATTATTATGCTCTGTAGACTGACAAAGTTCAGCTGAATAAGTCTTTGGTCACTTAGGACTGAGATCATATACCTTAAGGGGTATGTGAAAGTTCTAGTGAGTGAGTAATTTAGATCACTCACCATCAGGTCTGAGTCAATTTGAGCTATCCTCTGGAAGATCAGCTAGGGTTGTACTGGGGACATCTTGGTACTGGCATAAAAACCGACATGTGGACCAATGGAATCGAATTGAAGACCCTGACATTAATCCGCACACCTATGAACATATAATTTTTGACAAAGAAGCCAAAAGTGCACAATGGAAAAAAGAAAGCATCTTCAACAAATGGTGCTGGCAAAACTGGATATCAACATGTAGAAGGCTGCAAATAGATCCATATCTATCACCGTGCACAAAACTTAAGTCCAAGTGGATCAAGGACCTCAACATAAATCCAGCTACTCTGAACCTGCTAGAAGAGAAAGTAGGAAGTAGTCTTGAACGCATTGGCATTGGAGACTACTTCCTAAATAGAACACCAGTAGCACAGACTCTGAGAGAAACAATCAATCAATGGGACCTTTTGAAACTGAGAAGCTTTTGTAGAGCAAAGGATACGGTCAACAAGGCAAAGCGACAGCCTACAGAATGGGAAAAGATCTTCACCAACCCCACATCTGACAGAGGACTGATATCCAGAATATATAAGGAACTCAAGAAATTAGACATCAAAATGCCCAACAGTCCAATTAAGAAATGGGCTATAGAACTAAACAGAGAATTCTCAACAGAGGAAACTCAAATGGCCGAAAGACATTTAAGGAATTGCTCATCATCCCTAATCATCAGGGAAATGCAAATCAAAACAACTCTGAGATACCACCTTACGCCTGTCAGAATGGCTAAGATCAAAAACACTGAAGACACCTTATGCTGGAGAGGATGTGGAGCTAGGGGAACTCTCCTCCACTGCTGGTGGGAATGCAAGCTTGTACAACCACTTTGGAAATCAATATGGCGCTTTCTTAGAAAATTGGGAATCAATCTCCCCCAAGATCCAGCTATACCACGCTTGGGCATATACCCAAGAAATGCTCAACCACACCATAAGAGCACTTGTTCAGCTATGTTCATATCAGCATTGTTTGTAATAGCCAGAACATGGAAACAACCCAGATGCCCTTCAACTGAAGAATGGATAAACAAAATGTGGTACATATACACAATGGAATACTACTCAGCAGAAAAAAACAATGGCATCATGAGGTTTGCAGACAAATGGATGGATCTAGAAAAAATCATCCTGAGTGAGGTAACCCAGACTCAGAAAGACAAACATGGTATGTACTCACTCATAGCAGGATACTAGACATGAAACAAGGATGACTTGTCTGCTACTCACATCACCAGGGAGGCTACCCGGAAAACAGGACCCCAAGAAAGACACAGGGATCGCCCAATGACAGAGAAATGGAATGAGATCTACATGAACAGCCTGGACATGAGTGGGGGTAATGAAAGGCGAGGGTCGAGGGAAAGAGAGCTTGGGGGAGCGGGAGATCCCAGCTGGATCAAGAACAGAGAGGGAGAACAAGGAATAGGAGACCATGGTAAATGAAGACCACATGAGAATAGGAAGAAGCAAAGTGCTAGAGAGGCCCACAGAAATCCACAAAGATACCCACACAACAGACTGCTGGCAATGGTCGAGAGACAGCCCGAACTGACCTACTCTGGTGATGGGATGGCCAAACACCCTAATTGTTGTGCTAGA